AAATAAAACATAAAAAGATAATTAAAAATCAAAACCAGAGTGAGATGCAACTACTGCAATATTTTCAAGAGCAGAAACAAGAACTGGATCATTTAAAATACCAGCACAAGCAAAGCAATATTGCACATGCCCAGCTCCTTTCAGCAACAGATGAAGTTAAGAATCTGCAAAACACAACAGAACAAATCAAAACTCAGCTGCATGACAAAAGACGAGACTTTCAAACAGACTGATGTTTTTCAAGTCAGCAAAGATCACTGTCTTCATATAGAAAGTGGAAGTGAAAAGCATGATTTATCTAAACCCGAAACTTAGAGAGTACTAAAATGAATAAAAGAACAAGAATTGGAGATTAAATTTATAAATGAAAAAATGTCTCTAACTAACCAGATTGATCAACTGTCTAAAGATGAGGTTGATAAACTAACTCAGATTATCCAGAAGAAGGACTTGAAGGTGCAGGGTCTCCCCACTAGAATAACTTCTGCTTCTTACACTCAGGATATTATTTACCTTCAGCAGCAACTGCAAGTGTATATGTTGGAAAGAGAACAAATGTTAGCTGTTTGGGATGAGAAGGTTAGGGAAAATAGCTATCTAAAAAGAGAGTATCACCAAATAATGGACATAATTGTCATCAAGAAGTAGCTCCCATTAAACTGCAGGATGAAAACAAGAAATTGTCTGCTAGACTTGAAAGTAGCGGTCAGGACATGTTTAGAGAAACTATTTAGAATTCATCATGTCTTATTCGAGAAAAAGACATTGAAACAGATGCACTGAGTCAGAAATGTCAGACTTTGTTGACAATTTTGCAAACATCCAGCACTGGTAATTAGGTTGGAGGTGTTATTAGTACACACTTCGAGGAGCTTCTACACGAATGTGTTAAGTTAAAACAGCAAGTTAGGAAAATGGAAGAGTGGAACCAGTGTTCTGAGAAAATTCCAGGTCTCGCTGGCTAGATCTGGGTTCCTGGTGTCTCCCACAAAGAATTGGACAAGACACACCAGAAATGAAAGGTAAAAGCAATTTTATTTAGCAAAGAAGAATACATTCTGGAGAAAATGGAGCGGGCTCGAGTGAGAAAGAGTGCTCAAGAGCCCTGATGGTTATATTCCGGGAGGTTTTAAGCCCTCTTAGCTGGATTCGTGCCATCTGTTCATTGGCTGAACCCTGAAATATAATCTCTGTCATATTGGTTAAAGAGACTGGCGCCCTAGTGGGTGGGAACTCATTGATCTAACCAAATGGCGCCCAAGATGAGGGGCTCCCTGTTTGGAATTGTGTCTCCTGTGGTCGCTTCTGCGCATGTGCATGCCTGCTCAGGGAACCAGTTTGTCCCATTTGTAAATAACCAGTTTTTCCTTCTACCGCTCTTGTGTCTATCTAACTTCCTGCCTCACCAGCAGGTCATGACCATAGTAAAAAATATGCAACGTGAGACCATCCACCTTCAAATAGAAATTCAGCAACTTCAGGTACAGGTTTTAATTGTCAGTAATACTAATTCTAAACTACAGATGAACTATACTGACAAGCCAAAATTATGAAGGGAATGAAACCAAACAAAACGCTGGGGCAGAAATTAGCACATATTCAACACAGCATGGAGCAGTTTGCAGTACCAAGAACAGTCTCTTCAGACAGTTCGGTATTTTCCCACAGCTCTCCACCAAATCGTCACATTTTTCCAAGTCAGCAGAATGTCTTGAGGAGAGTGAGTCTGACATATTGCGTGAGTCTTCTAAGTTGCTCCAACGAGAGATTGAAGTGCTGAGAAAATCACTGCAGGAAAACGATGCAACCATCAGAACCTTCCAGGAAGATACTCAGAGACTGTTGGATGCGATTGATGCCTCCTCAAAGAAAGAACACGGACATGGATTCAGAAATTAAGCAGCTAAAGGAGAAACAAAACCGTTTACAAAAGTTACTTACAGGAAAGAAGCTTTTCATCACAGCCATAAGTTGACATTTACATTCTGTGAGGGAAAATCTCACTAATGAAGTCAATGAGCTTTTCCGGCAGGCAGTGAGAAACCTGAAGGAGAGGATGTTAATTTTAGAAATGGATATGTGGAAACTACTACAGGGAAATGAAGTTCTACATTTACACAACAAAGAATTACACTTAAACCGGGAGCTAGAGAGATTACATAAATATTTTTTACCATCAGAAGATGATTCTCAAGCTGGAGATGTTTAAAGAAAACAAGCCACTATGTGTATGTAGTTTATCATAAAGTGACTTTCTGGAAACATTTGTTTTCAACTTTACCTTAAATTTAATGAAAATATTCTTAATGCTTTTTTTAAAAAAAACCCTGTCATTTAAGGGCTGTAAAGGTATTCACCAAACTTAAAACAGTGGTGACTTCTTGTGAGGGTGGGTGTTGGGATTGGAGGATGGTCAGAGGATGCTTCAGGTAGTGTTTGTAATACCTTAATTTTTTACAAAAAGCAGGTATTTGTGTATACCTTGAATCATTAAAACATTAGTTTGTATTAAGTCTCAAAAATTATAAAATACATGAGTGTACACTTCTTATATAGGAAAGAAGGTGAACAGCGCAAAAGTACAAGATGCATAAAATTTTAAAAATGAAATTTCCCTTTTTTGGGCTAAGTCCCACTCCCCTTTCCATTGCCTGGGAAACCACCCTTCAGGTCTTTTAAAATACTCATATAAATATATTTCTATAGATGGGAGTATATTATTCTCTGACTTGCTTTAAAAAAAAAATCACTACACCTTGGAGATCTTTCCAAATATGAATGATTACATCTTACTCTTTTTAAAAGCAGAATTTCACTGCAAGCATGTACTCTAATTTATTTAGCTCCTGTTGATTGACATTTAAGCAGTATCTGCCCCCAAATCCTACAAAATGTTCGTGATCAATTCCCTCGCCCATTTCCTCAAGAGCCACTCCAAACCTTTATCACTTTCTTGAAGTAAGATCATGCCTTCAACCCTCTTGAAGACATTAGAGACCAGCAGTCAAGACCTTTTAATTTCCCACATCCTCTTCCTATGTACTACTATCCATCTCTACTTCTTCCACCCCCAGCTTTTTTTTTTTTTTTTTTTTAGAGGAAAAGGGATCCAGCTTTGTAGTTCAAGGCTAATTGCATGCTGGAGACCATTCAGACTTCTTCAAAGACCTCCTCATTCTATTAGTTTTCCATTCTGCTTTATCTTCAACCTCTCTTTTTCCCTGAGCATATGAGCATGTCCATGTTTCTCCTGGCATATACTACTCTCCTTTCTGTTCCTAAAGCATCCACCTTATCTCTCCACCTTTCACAGCTAACCTTTTGACACAATGCTTTACTCCTTCTCACCATCTCATTTTTCATTGACTTCTTTCTGAAAACTTCACAAAATCTTATCTCATTAACATCCCAGGAATGTTCTAATTACTGAATCCAATGCACACTTTTTAGCCTTTGTTCTTAAACACTCTGTAGTGTCTGGTAAATGTTAACCAAATCTTCATTCTTTAAATTCTCTCTGCCTTCTTCATTTTTTTGTGATTCCACTCTCCCCAGGTTCCCTTCCTAACATCAGACCTTTTTCTCTCAGTCTCTTTTCCGGCTTTTGCTTCTGATCACTTCTTAAAGGTTAATATTCTCCAAGGTACCATCTTCAGCTAACAGGCTCTTCTCACTATCCCTGCAGATTTAGGGCAAGTTCATCCACTCCCATGATTTGGCTTTCACCTGTATGCCAATGACTTCTGAATCTCTTTGCCTAACATCACCCTTCTCCTGACTCCACACTGGTTTATCTAATTCTCTGTTGGACAAAACCTCTATCAGCATGTCCATAGGCTTCTCAAAATCAACAAGTCCAAAAGAGAACTCAGTATCTTCCCTTACAACTCTATCATCACCCAGGCAAGAGGCCTCAGAATCATGGTATTTCTCTCTCTCTCTCTCACCCCCGCTACCCTCTCACTTCCTCCATAATCAATCAACCACCAAATGTATCTTAATTCTTTCCCTTCATTTCTGGTCCCACTACTCTGGTCCATCCCTTCCTGTCTCTTGTACAGACTGGTGCTGTAGGCTCCTTACCGATCTAGCTGGTTCCATTCCTGGCCTCCCTTGAACCCATTCTCCACATTGCTGTGAGGGTGAACTTTCTCAGATGAAAATTTGATGATCTTATTTCCCTGCTTGAAATTATTTTAGGATTCCCCATTGCCTGGAGTCCAAACTTTAGCAGTATATTCAAGGCCTTGCCTTTGCAGCCTTACTTTCTGCTAGTCAGCCACACACAGGCCACCTTCCAGTCACATGTTACTTCTTGCAAATCATAAAGAGACTATTACCTAAATAACTTAAAGCCCATTTGCCTAATCAGAGCAGGATAATGCTTTCAAAGAAGTTTGGACCAAAAGTGGTTTATTTTCTCTTCACTCCACTGGTAAGGGGCTGGGTGGTGGGGAGATTCCCATTCCTACCTTATAGTTATGGGGATGGTTGACCATTGGACAGATGAGATTGACAGCAGTTTATCAGTTATACACTCATGGTCCATGGGAGGAGGACACTGCCCACCATGCAGGGTCACACTGGGGTTGAACTCCAGAACAGAGTGAACAAGGAGGGGCTGCTGGAGGCAGGCTTTGTAGTAATAAGAGGATGAGGTGACCCCTGGTTCCCACAGAAGGGTGTCATTGGCTTGTTTGAATAATTCCATAGGCCAGCAGGGAACTAAAGCCCACTACCTGGGAATAAACTATGCCTGGTCCAAGGAGGGTTGTTGGGCTAGGGGACTTATCTGTGGTTGCAGAGGGGGAGGTGAACTTGCAGTTCAGCCATTTGAGGCCCTCCCAGTTTTACCACAATGGGCCCTTTGATTACTAGTCATCACTTTCAACCTTGGTGATGATGAAGACTTTTAGGGAGGAGGAGAAGTGCTTCCCTAGGAAGCCACATAGGCACTTAACTACATGGCCGGGTGGATGTCAAACTCGTGAACTTTAGAGATGTCCCCCTTTATGGTCAATACAGGTAATTAAGGAATGTGAGGGGTCTGTGTGGCACTGGTGTAGGGATTGTGTGTCCCCAGGGGAGTGTAACTAATCAATGACTGTGACAACAGTGAAGGGGGTGAGTGGGAGTAGTAGTGAGTGTGCTGTGAATATGCCATTTTGTAACTTAAATCAGAGGTTTTTGAGGCACCGTATATCTTTCCATTAAACCAGCTGCTTGGGGCATAGAGGAGAGGTGGAATTTCCATGGAATGCCTTCTCCAGGAGACCAGCATGGTGTATTCTGAGAAGAGAAATGAATGCCTTGGTCATGACTAATAATATCTGGGACTCTGAAGAGGATGAGTGTCTCAATCTGGCCCTGTATTGTGGCCTTAGAATATGTAGAGACATGTGTTACCTTGATTTATATTTTGGGTATCAGGGAGGCAAGAGATCCCCTGAGTTCTTTAACCCAAACGGGACAACTCCTTGGCAATAGCTCAATGGTTTGTAAAAAATATGCAGATGGGGCCCTTTGTTGACAGGGACATTGCTATGGTCTGAATGTTTGTGTCCCTCCAAAATGCAAATGGTGAAATCTAACTCCCATAGTGATAAGTATTAGGAGGTGGGACCTTTGGGAGATGATTAGGTCATGGGGGTAGGGTCTTCATAAAGGGGATTGATGCCCATATAAAAGAGGCCCAAGAGAACCTTTGCTCCTTCCATGATATGAAGACACAGCATGAAGGCACCATCTGTGAGCCAGAAAATAGGTCCTCACCAGACATGGAATCTGCCTTGATCTTGAACTTCCCAGCCTCCAGAACTGTGAGAAATAAATTTCCATTCTTTATAGGCCACCCAGTCTATGGTATTTTGTAATAACATCCCCAAAAGAATAAGACAGAATTCAGTGCTAAGTTAACTGCCTGAAGTTTGGCCAATTGTGCTGACCCTTGTGTCCTCTCCTTCACTAGGGACATACTATTTAAAGGACAGAAAAAGCAACATTTCACTAGCTCCATCATATACAATGGTGCCGATGGCATCTATAAAGTATTTGAACATTCACTAATGTTCACTCAGTAGATTCCAAGGGGATCCACTGGAGCCAAGGGCTCGGGAGAGGGTGACCTCCTCCAGCACCATGCCATCTGGCAAGGGAGTGAGACAAGAAG